ATGGGGTAAGGCACAGCAGCAAAAGCAGCAATAGCACTCTAGTGTTTTGCACTAGTGGATTATTCTCAGAGACAGAGCCATAATGGTTTATATGGACAATGAGTAAGCCCTGCAACTGTGCTCCACGGGTGTTTGTGTATGGGCCACAGTAGTGGAGAGAGTAGAAGGGGTGAGGGAGAGGAAAAGAGAGAGACAGGCAGAGAGAGCTATACTGCCGTGAGACCTGGATTAGGCTCTGGACAGTGGATACTGCTGTGGCTGCAGCTGTTTTTCAAATTGCTCTGAATTCTCAGAGATTATGTGGAATGAATGAATGGATGACCGAATGAATGAATGGCGGCATGATCTTCAAAACAACCATACAGTATCCAGAAAGCTAAGTGCTGGAGTGATTTGAAGCTGTACGTTTTACTGTACAGAAACATATCCCATGATTTATTTTCGGGTGAAATGTGGTGCAATGTAATGCAATATGACACAAGGATGATGCAGAAATTATGTTTCCACATAGTTGAGCTCAGCTGAGAAATTACAATCTCTGCTGGAGCAGGTCGACATTCACTTTGCTGCTCAAAAGATGGATGTTTTCTGGCACGTAAGTTTGAATCTGGGTTCTCCTTCTTCACTAAAGCATCGTCCTACCTTTTGGAATCACTCACAGCTGAAAGTATTGTAACACGACAGACCAATTACTAGTCCTTGAGCCACAGAGTGATGGATGTCATCATCTTACTCAGTCACAGTCACTACTACCTATCACTGATGGAAGACTTAATGTATCCGAGCACCTTGTTTGATTTGCACCATTTGTAGATAAAAGATCTGGCAGCACACAACCATTAGAGTAAATGTTCTTTTAACATCATCATAATAAGACCTGTGTGGTATGGGTTTGGGGTTTCACTCACTTTCACTCCGCATAGTTGAGTAGAGTGTTGTCTTTTCATCAGATTGCTGATCCCAACTTGTATCCTCTTTACAGTAAATTGCACAACTGTCATTTCAGATAAAGTATTTAATGCTGCTACTGGACATTACATCATACAGTATAATTCTTTTAACACTCGCAAACCACTTAAAATTCAGCACATGGTAAAATCTTAAAATCGTAGCTAACGAAAGCTAGCTAAAGAATTAGAATCTCTTTGTTAACATCTGTTCTTTTTGTCTCAGTTACGTGAGCTATTGAAGACAGAAACGTAGCTCTGGCAGAATAAGATATCTTTATTTCAAGTGTAACTCACATGCATGGTGCAGATGCACTGTGAGATGAGAGAGCACTCCAGTATATCCTCACCCAAGGGCACACAGCTCTCCATGGGATATTGTTTCCCTTGTGTTCACCTCTCAGTAAGCATCACCCCTCACCCACCCATTGCTACCCTTTGCTTTTACCGGTCAGCATATATGTCAGTATTAATCAAGTATGTTTCTAAAACTGAGATACATACAACAATGATATTTCTCGCATAACTCATAACACTGTAAGTAATAGTTTGGACTCCGGGTCCCAGAATGGACCATCAATCACCTGAACTTTCGTCCTAAGATGCAAAGCTCAACAAACAACAGAAAAAACAGAAGTCATGATTTTCTAACTTAATTGTTATTGAGTAATGGCCGACCTCTGAGAGGTTCAACTGTAGCTGTGTTGTGAGAAATGGATACCAGCTGTAGATTGGCTTAATGCAGCAGTGATTTAATAAAACACAGCAGACCTAGCACTGTGGCCTGGGGAGCTCTGCGTTTATGGGTACAGGAGGAGAAAACACTACAAGAGGATCTTGGTTCTTGAAAAGTCACAAAATTGCTATCTAAGCTGACTTCTAAAGTAAACTTTTTCCTAGAGCAGTGCAAAATAGGAGAACAGATGGTGGCAGAAGCTCTTGCCCCAATCTTCTGAATGTAGGCCAATAATAAAACTGAAAAAAAGAGAATAAGACAAAAAAAGGTTAATTATGTATTGAAAATACTGAACAATAGTGCTTTAACTAAAGTGACAGTTAGATTCAAATTAAATACGCAAGTCATCTTGATATTTATGAAATATGTATGATCTCTGGGAATAATCATGTTTGTATGGTTGCATTCATTCAATGTGTTCTCTCAGTTTGAATTGGCCAGATGGGCTCGAGCTGAAATACTGAGACAGATGTTTAAAGGCTGTTTTGCATGAAGCATACATTTTCATTTTTTCACCACCTGGGTGTTTTCACAGATTAGCTGAACTTTTATTTCTCTGGTTTACAAGCACCCATTCATGGAAATTCCATGAATGACAGACAAAAAATAATTTGGAGAGAAAGTGTGTTTGTTTATGTTTGTTTGACTGCAAACAGGCAATTGCACATCAGTGAACTTTACCAGCTTTTCCCAACCTCCCAGAGGATACACAGAGTGGTACTGAAACTGCAGCACCATGGACAGCGACTCAGTCAAACTCACCTCATGCTCACTTTCTGGAAAGTTGTGTGGAAACATATACACATATATATGTAGGATCCCCAACACAAAAAAAAAAACTGCCAAACATACAGTATGCAACCCATTTCATGAATAAAAAAAATCCAACTCTAAATGTGTCTCAAGTTACGCAAGTATTGTATTGTAACTACTCAGTGCCTAGTGTATTCATACATACTAAAATTGTAGGGAAACCACTAGGTGAAATGACAGTAAAAATGTTCTCAAGAAATGCTTTAACATATTCTACCTTTCATGTATTATGGGATAGTATAGATTTTGCTATTACTTATATAGACTTGTTTGACAAGTCAAGAAAAAACAGTCCCAAAACTTGGCTACCTGCACAGTGTGACTGTAAAATCTAATCGATTCATCCAGTAAAATGACTAAGTGGGTGCCTAACAACATTTATTACAACTTTTAGTGCCCTACATTAAACATTGTGCATACGCTTCCATCAAAAAAGTAATATTTTATATATAGCCTTGAATCAAATGATTGGCTGTAATTTTAGAGTGTTGCTAGTCCTGCTTATATCACTGAGAATCAACAGTCCAGTCTGCCAGTCTGTGTTTTAGACCACCAGATATTTTGGTTCAGTCTGCAACTCGCATCATGTCCCCATATAAAACTGTGGGCAGTTGATTCCAGCACACAAGCTCAGAAGACTGAATTGATGCTCCATAGTAGCTCAGCCTGAAGGACAAGAGCCACTAAAAGCTATTGTATGTATTTTTCTCCTAAGTTGGTGTACCAATGCAGTACTCGAAAAACAGTGAATGCTGGACTAAGCTAAAGCCACCACTGAAAACTGGATTTTATATTTATGTGATTCACAGGGATGACGCATCAGTGCTACAGTGACGACAAGTCTGAACCATCTAAACTGAGCACTAGTTTAAATCTTTAATTCAAGTCGGCCTGCTAAGAAAACACTTCATGCCTGAGCTCTAGACTTGTTGCTTTGCAAAATCTTCTCTGCACAGTTTTAGAAAAAGATGATTGGTGCTGAAAGATTTCAGCCCACATTTGCCAGATATAAATATAATCAGGTTTTCCATCATCACCTGGATCCATCATCATCCTCTTCAGCACCATAGACAGCAACTTTAAGGAACTCTTGGTAGTCATATACCTGAACCGTTTTTCAGTCATTCAGACTGAATAGACCTCTGCTTGGGTTGAAGCTGGGTCATCAACACTATGACGTCATCAAACTACATGTATAATGAACTGTTACGGTGTGATTTTGTAATTTGTGTGCTGCCCTTGCAGGTGTAACAAAACTAACAGGAGAGTGGGGGAAATGCCAATCAAGTACAGTCTGTACCCTCCCACGCAGCCCTGAGAAAAGGCTGTTTCAGGTAACAAATGGAAAACAGTGTACTATAGGTGTATGTACAGGACCTTGGATGGATTTGTTTGGACAATCTGTGTAGAACTTGTATAGCGTGTTCACAGAAATATTCTTTAAAAACATTCAGAAGGAGGCACAGAACATTTCTGATACCGAAACTGATTTTTACTTTAACACATTACTTTAAGCTGTGGGAGGGTGTTTAAATCTCTGATCACCAAATGATTCATGCATAAATGCTACAGATGGTAGTTTAATCATTTTCATATAACAATGGCCATCAAACATAAGCAGCTGGTCCTAATGTTCAGCACATTATGTATGAGCTAACCTAAACTTGCCTTCAAAATAAAACAGTAAAACAGTATTGCCATTGCTAGTAATGTCTTTACATAAGATGTATTCATATTTATGTAGGCCTATATAAATGTTTATAATATGTATAATCTTAATATTTATTTAATTAATGAATCGTTATTATAATTATAAATATTAGATAAAAAAAAAATTCCATTGATTTGTAATTGACCCATTATGAGATGAAATTATTTTTTTAAGAAATAAGCGTATTAGCATTCTTGCTGACAGTTAGATGAGAAGATTGACATGTCTGTCTAACTAACAGCCAGTTAGCTTAGCCTAGCATAAACACTGGAAACGGAGGAAACATCTAGCCTGCCTCTATCAATGGGTAACAAACCCCGCCTACTAACAGCTATAAGGGGACCAACAAGAGTGACCAACTCACTGCTGCCGGCCAAGAAATAGTCCACCACACCCGGTAAAACCATAAATTTAATTATTTTCACACTTTTTTTGTAATGAGATATGTTAAATAGTGAGCTAGGCAAGAAAGCAAATATTTGAATATTATATTAAGTATTCAATATCACATATATATTATAAGAATATCCTTACATTTACCAGTGTGCTTAGACACATACTGAACTCAGTAACCAGAAAAGCAAAACTAAAGAACAAGTTTCTGCATCCTTTTTTTGTATGGTATAGTACTATATTAAAGCACTGTGTGAAAATAGAGTAAAATTACAGATATATGTATATTACTGGTTATAACCAGCGCTTTTATAGCAGGAAACCACACAAGAAGTACCCCTTCATTGTATGTATACTGTACTTTATCAGTCTTTCCTTAAAGGATCCTGTAATACACAGCATATTATAAGGCATACATTCCAAATGTGCGCATATTCCGATAATGCTCAGTGCACAAGGCTGGGACTTATCCTTACCCGTTATCCTTACCCGAGGTGGAAGGGAACTAAGCCCCCTGGGAGCAACGTCACTCCCTTTGGCATATCAACCACTGTCCGCTGCATGCGCCCAAACACACCACCACAGAGGACGTCAGGATCGCACCCATCCTCAACAGCGAAATGCTTTGCGAACTGAATGTAACTCCAGCAATCCTCCCCGATTCCGTGCGTTTCGGCGAGGAGACATTTACATGCTCCGGCATACAAGCAGGCTAAAGAACTCCTCGGCGAAGTGGGAAGGTCATTTGAAGTGGGAAGAGAGCGATCGCGTCGGCTATGGTCTGTGATGAAGGAAACGGCACGAAGAGCCAACATCTGTAACTTCGGGATTTACTTGTAAAGGCGCTTTTTCTTTTTTTCAACGGGAAATCGTGGGATATTCTGTGTATAAACATGCCTGTAAGAAGAGGTCACGTTGCGCCACAAAACACATTCCTTGGATTAATTATTCGGAAATTCGAGGGTCAGAGTAAGTATCTTCTTGATGTGCAATTTCTGGTACGAGAGAGACAATGCTATAAAGTAAATGATTTGACAAAGTAAAATGACGACAAAAAATTAAGTTTATCTTGGGATAAAATTGCATAGAAAAACATGTTAGGATGACTTTCTTCCTTAAAAAAAAATCAAAAGACTGAATTGTTGAGTTTTTTGAATGAAGTTCGGTGAACAGAATCATTAGTAGGTTGCTTATTTTCTATACAGTGCCAGTGAACTTAATCAACTTAATTGATGATTGGTTCTATTTGTGAGGTGAAACCATGGTGCAAGTTCTGGGGGAAGCTGTGCCACAACACGCAAGTACACAGTGCATACTTTTTCTTCTTTTTTCCTACAGACCGCAAATTCTTGATAGCCAATGCCAGGGTGGAGAACTGTGCAATCATATACTGCAACGATGGCTTTTGCGAGATGACGGGCTTCTCGAGACCGGACATCATGCAGAAGCCATGCACCTGTGACTTCCTCCACGGTGACCTGACCGACAAAGAGGCCATCAGCCAGGTGTCCCAGGCTGTGCTCGGGTCCGAGGAGCGCAAGGTGGAGATCACCTACTACCGGAAGGATGGTGAGTCAGTGTCCTGGCACTAAAGTGTGGCTTTTCACAGCAACTCCTGGTTCTTTTTTTGCTCCCGAAAAAGCACCTTCTGCAGCTCTTCACTATGTCTACTTCTTGATGTGGCCTGTCAGTCTGTTACTAACCAGCCTGAGTCAGTTACAAGATGTGCTTCAGACTTTAACCCTGATAGAGGAAAACAGAAAGAGCAGTCAAGTTTATGCAGGTATTGATGTGAAAGTAAAGAGATCCACATAACTTTGATCCCCCTCATGCATCCAGAGGGGTTATGAATAAAGATTTCATAAGACAGTCCAAAACCAAAATATTATTCTAAGAAAAACACATTGCTCCATTTCATATCCACATCTAAACAATAACACATTAGAAAATGGTTGTGGTGTGAATATTCTATCATAGTACTGTCATAATGTTTGGTTGTATACATTACAAAGGAGGTATAATAGTCAATGTGACAGTCTCCATGTGAGAATGTATTGAAAACACAACACATTGAAATCTTTTTGCCACCTGCTTTGATTCATAGCATCATGTGCCTGGTGTGACACAAAAGAAAAAGTGTGGTTGCCAAAATTATGCTGTGCCCCTCTTCTTAGTTTTGATTTTAACACAGAAATAGAAACAGCAGTAGGTGCTATGTCGGTTGGTAACATGATGCACAGTTTTTGTGTTTTGATGGACAGAGTGAGAGATGGTGGTGTAGAGACAGAGCTCACATGCGGTCCTTTTAAAGTTTATTATTCTTTATGTCTTATGGCTTTACACTTGTCAAATAAAATACACTTGCTGTGTATATGAAGATCCATGATTCATTCAGCCATTTTGTGGTTTGCAGCAAAGGTGTACAGCAGATTTAGCAGACGGTGGATCAATCCGCTTATCTGTAAAATTGCTGTACATGTGATAGGCTACAGCTTTGCCAGCTTTGCATAAAAATGCTCTCCTTTTAAAGCTGGACCGGTGTTTGTCATTCATTTTTGGCCAATCCTATGTCCTGGTATGAATGGTGCACTGCAGAGACAGCAATCCTGAGTCAGAGGGAATTAATACGATGTTACCGCTCAGTGGCATAAATCCCCGGATTGACCACCTCCTGCCATGCTCTCACATGAGGTTTTTATGGTCAGCATGACATAGCTGTACAGAGTCAAGCCAACAGTACTCCTGTTACAGAATAGCACAAGAACATGCTTTTTTATATTCATTTTGTGCCAGTGTTTACACCAACAGAGGCCAACATTGGTGTGATATAGGTGCTTTGAATTCCTATTATTTACTCTGTAATAACTTCCAAGGCATGTACAGAAGCAACAGCAGTATATGAGGAGTCCCTACTGGAAAAAACGAGACGTGATGTTTTATTTAATCATAAGGAGCCAGGGCTTTAATTTTTCATTGTGAGTTTGATTAGATTCTAGGCCATGGATACATGTTTAATCTACCATCAGCAGCCATCAGCCAAGGCTGGGTTTTTTTTTTTTTTTGCTTTGTTTTTTTGCTAATCAGGAAGAAACCAAGAGCCAGCTGCTACACTGTTAAAATAGATTGTTTCAGAAACCTGCAAGACAATTACACAAAACACTCAAGGGTCTGTTTGTGAGAGCAGGAACAGCTTGCTTTTTGACAAGCGGGATTTTAACTTTCATTTAGCTTCCCATCCTCCCATCTTATTCGCATGTGCTGTGCTCCATTGAAATTGCATGTGTCCATGTAATGTCTAAAGTATGGTGGATGGGAGCTACAGAAACCTTCAAACATAACCGTTTCTCTCTGTCTCTTCACAATCCTCCCCGGTGTGCATCACGGCTTCAAGACACAACTCTTAATACTCCTCGGAGGAATTTACAGTGAGCGTGTGTGCTCATGAATAAAGATGTCAGGGCTGACAGTGCTGTGACTGGGAATGAGCAGCTTACAGAGTAAATGCATTAAACTGATATGGAGGACACAATACACACGCTCCCACTGCTATAGGGGAATGAAAGATTCATGGCATCCTTTAGAGCGACGGCCATATTGATTCAAGTCGCTCTTCAAAATGAAGCTGATGGGTGGAAAGTGGAAGTATTCAATGTCTTCCCTCCGAACTGTATTTCAAGTTATCAACCCTCATGCAAATCATTTAATCCTTTGTATTAAACCCCTTCCATGTTGCATGCACTGGCTGTACGTCACAAATCACAAAGGAATGTTTAAAAAAAAAACATATAATAAACCAGCTTTAGCTCAGATATGTTACCGGTATTCCCTGTTTCTCTTTCTCCCTGTTCAGTCTAAATATTGGTTGAATTATGATGTGCAGTGTGTGACATAGTATAGTTTGTTTTTGTCCATCAATAACTGCTGTGGGAGATCTTGGGGGAAAAAAAGGAAGGTCAGGATTTGAGGAAGCCGTGTGACATCAGGAGCAACAAAGCTTTGGCTCCTTTCACTGAAAAGGCATAAAGTTAAGCTGCTTATGCGTATGCTTCGAAATTAAAAGTAGTGGAACAAAGGGGACCATGGGAGCACAGCAAAGGCCTTCAGCACAGGGGCCTTTTTCTTTTTTTAATTTTGTGTTCCCCTCTATGTGAACAACCAAGACAGGTTGTGAGAAGAGATACCACACGCGCAGTCTTCCTCCAACGAGGATACATAATCAATGAGTTAAATGCTTTCCCCTGATGGCTTTGCAAAGCTATCCTATTCCACGGGGTGTAATAATACTTTGTACCTGAATGAGTGTTAACAAAAGGAAGCTGACACCGTGCAGAGAGAAGTTAAATGGATAATGGCTACATAACAGCGGCAGCTTAGCTAACCGTGCTGAATGATCCGGGACATGTGGTATGCGTGGGTGCAGGGTTTCATAGGTGACTCCCCACCGAGGGGACTGAAGGGCCGCGTTCCCCCGCTGAGGGTTTAGTGGCAGGGGAGCGAGACGACAGGGGGACGCGGAGTGTCTACAGTGCACAAGGCACAAGGTGTGCTGCAGGACACTTGGATGACTACCCTTCAAAAGAGCACATCCATTTTTCATCATGCTTAGCCCTCTTTGATGTCTTGCAGTATGAAGTGAAACACATACAGAGCTTTCCTCATCAGGTTTCATTTGTTGAAGCTTTTCCAAGTAGATGTAGCAAATTAAAAAGCACACAGTGAAACTTTCCATCTCAAAGAGAAGATATGTATATCACATCCATTACAGGAACATATTTCTTTACGTAATGCATGGTTTGGTAACATTGCTGATCATAATTAAGATGTGAAACAAGTTTATTGGTAAAGGAGGAGCTGATGGATCTTTGAACATTATAACAATACAGGTCTCACTTTGCATTGGATAGGAATGTTCATCCACAGACTATTTTTAACTCATGGGATGCTTGTACTGGAGGTGGTAATCTAATATTCCTCTCCATACCATCTGTGTTTTTCTCTTAATCATCTTACTGTATGCTAAGTGCAAGTTGTACCATCCATTGCTTTCAATCCAGCAAACATTTGTGCCAAATTTAACAGACTAAAGGATCACAGAGCAAAATATCATGAATTGATAAACAAAAATGAAATATAGTTTGAGCAAGAGCTGCTAGTTATCCCTGATGGCTCTGGAGACACTGATTGAAGATGAAATTAGGCCATGCTGCGTAGCTTACAGCGGTCTCGCTGAGGCGAGATATTGCCACAAGACCCAAGGACTCTAAACAAAGGGTTAGCTTGCATGGCCTCTCCCAACATGCCCTAGTCCCGATTGGCTATACCCCAGTAACATTGCGTATTGGCTTAAGCAGAATAGCCTTAAACGAGAAACATGTCAGATTTCATTATACAAGACTTACTACCAGGCAGTAGTCTGGGGCTGTACTGTTTAAAAGCTGCAGTTGTGGATAGTACATTGGTAGGAAGATATAACAACAAAAATCAGCGCTCAACAATATTACTCATGTTTCCCCCTGAAGTAGATCAGCTTATGCAGATTAATACGAATCCTCAATACATCAAATTTAAAAAACGGGGTTCAAATAAGAAATAGCTTCTCTTATTTTGAGATAAGATTTTAAAATGTGTATAGCAGTACTCGTACTACTACATAAACACTTCTACTATATATTTATGTATCTTCAAGACATCTTATACTTTCATCACAACTCTGTTTGACCTGTGAGTCATTGTAAGAGTGGCCAAAGGATCACTTGATTAAGCAGCAATGTTTTAATAATTGATGATGGAAATAGAATCTAGAGTAATGAAATTTCCATCATGAAAAGGGAGCTAGTCTTAATACACTGTCCATTCATTCAAGCAGGTGTAAATAACATTTCTTGGCTAGCAGGGAAACACTCTATATAAAGGTCAGGGAATTAATGGACACACACTGGCACAAACTGCTCTCACTGTCAATGATGTTAACCATGTCCAGCAGCTATGGCTATGTTTGGACAGTATTGTTGTGCTGATTTGAGTGTTGCAAGAGAATAGGAACGTTGGATAGCCTAAAACCAAAACGGTCAGCAGTCTTCGGTAGCACGCATACTGTACACCACAGCTTATTTGTGTTCATATGACAGAGCCTGCTATATGGTACAAGAAAAGACACATTCACGAATTTTGTGTAATAACTCAGTTCTGTATATTTGCTGTGCTTTTCTTTATTCCATGTATGTTCTGCCAAATTAGTGAATGTGTTTCCTAATTTCCCAGATGAGTCCCCATTTTTCACAGTCTAAGAGCAAAGCTGTTACAATGTTAGATTTAATCGCTTGATTTAATTTGATTTAATGAGTTGTATGCATTGTCAAATTGAAGTTTTTTCATTACCATGTGCTTTTTTCCCCCCTACGTTGCAGTGTATGCTTGTCAAACACTAGTTTGTACAAAGTAAGACTAGTACTGTACAAAGAGTATACCCGTTCAAAAAATCCAAAGGTGGGTTGAGGAGTCTGCCATAATGAGGGGCATGAAACATACAAACAAGATGAGGCACACTTTACTCACTTGAAAGCACAACTTGAATGAGTTTAAAATGCCATGCAATTGATGATTAAAAATAAAACACACACTGGAGATGAATCAGTGTATTCCCTGTTGAGTGTTTGTATCTCCAGTGCATGTTGTTTACATCGTCAGTTTCTATTCTGTTGTTTTTTTTTAAGAAAAATGTATTTTCATAAATCCAGTATTATTTCACAGTGAATCTGGAAAAGACCATAGCTTCTCATAAAACTGTCTGACGGTTTTGTTCATCTTGACACTTCAGCTGAGAAGTCATGTCTGCCAAGGCAAGTTGTCAGTCAACAGAGAGTAGCATCGCAGATTTAGAAAGTGGGATCTCTTCCATCTGAATTCAGTTTTTATTCACATAGTATTCAATGGCTTGAGTTTAACTTAAAATGTAAAGATTGATTTTAATTGTATTCACATCACAAAATGTTTGGTAATGACTTATGGTTTAGACACTATGATTTTTACGTGGTACTATATGATGAATCAGTATTTTCACTGGATAAAACAATTAAGATTTTGTTGAATAATTATATATAAGGAGGAAAAAATCACATCAAAGGGTGATCATTTGGGTTCACATCATTTTCCCCAACAAAAGACCTTCATTAGTCTCTTAACCTTTGTTGAAGGTCATAAAGAAGATGAATAACACAGTTGTTCCCAATCAATAAGTGAGTCTTTCTTCAGGTCATGAGAAGCTCTGCTGATCACATGGCTTACTGCCACTGATTTTGGGTGGAGGGAAGAAAAGCTCTCCCTGTTTTATTCGCAAATAGTTCCTTTTGCAGGGTAAGAGCACTGAGGGCAAATATGCAAGTTTACAGAATAATAAAGAACGCAGTGATAAGAATATATCGTCAGATCAAATTTAGAGCTTCCCAGTCTGCTGATTTAAAATAGCAGTTATAAAGAAGCTTTCCTTTGATCCATTTTGGTAGAGGTGACATTCAGCAGGATACCAGATGAGAAGAGACCCCCATGGTTTAGCCTTTAAGCATGACCATTGTTTCCCCATCTGGTGAGGAAAACTCAAGCCCAGAAATGTTTCTGCTGAATTTACCATCTTGGCTGTCCACAGAGACATTAGTATAGATGTTCAGCGTATTACTCCTATTTCTTTCCTTTTACAGATGGGTGATTTTGGTGTTGGCTTTATCAATGATAATTACTTTATCATTTATTCAGCATTTTATTCACATTTTGCATTTCCTTACAAATGTCTTACATTTTCTAAAATACTCTGTCAAGAAAGAAATATGTTTTAGAGAATGCATATATTTACACGTAAGCATACAACCATGTAGCAGGGGACCCCTAATACTGCATTTAGTACACAGGTTATTGCTGCTTTCGCAAAACTTAAAACCTTTGGCAGGCAGCAAAATTTTGATCAAGTGTACTGACAATGGAGTAAAAAGACATAATTTTTTCATATCTACATATAAACAACTCACTTCTGCTCTACATGAGGCTGATGATGTATCAGACAGGGAAGTCTAAATATTTAATAATGTTTAAAAACATGGGATTTGAAAACTACAAAAATGTAATATGCTTCAACATATAATTTCTTCTCTTGAGTGGCTTGTTAGAAAGGTGGAGGTACAGTATCTCAATCTACTTAGACATACTGTTCCCAATATATTGAAAACTCACACCAACTATATAACTATATCATATTCACATTTTGGTTGAAAAAGAATAAAGAATATGTGGTTAGAAATCTGACATTAGATGATGATCATTAATGATAATAATAATCACTCCCTTAATTTCCCTGTCACCACTCCAGTGTTGACTTCTGAATAAAGGAAAAAATGGCCCAAAAATAACATCAATAAGTACACATTTTTGGAGGAAACATTTTAAGGATTTATCACTAACAAATTTAATTCCTGCAGGATTTATCAGATTGTTAAAAGTCGATAGTGAATAACTCTCTCGCTCACTTAGTTTCTCCTTCACTGTGAAAAATAAGCATACTGTTGAATCAAACAGATCAAAGTCAGAACCAAAAACGTTTCCTTTTATAGAAGGGACAATGTAGAATTAAGTGAAGGCTTTCTGGGAAATGCAGGAAAGTGCTTTTTATGAAAAAGGGATTTTCTGGGGAGGACTCACAGTTCCCCAGCCCTCTAAGCACCGCTCTTCTACTTTACAACATAACATAACCAGGCACCCATGACACCAGACAAGATGGGTGTGGAGTGCACACCCGCTGGTCTCATTATCCACATACAGCACACACACAAGCGTTTGCACTACCGTACAGTCCAATACAGTAACATTGAATTCTACCTGTATTCTCAAAGTAATCTCAAATACTGTCCATTCTTATGTTTTCCATTTAATTAAAATCACATTATCATATTGTCAGTGGTGACAGTGCAGCATTACTTCTGGGAGTTTTGATGCAGAAAACCTTCCAACAGAACTCTGGCATGTTGAGGCAGACCGAGCTTGTTATATTTAGTCAGACAGCAAGTCTACTGCTAATGAATGCTGCTGGCAGGGTGTCTGTGAGCCCTGCGGAGATTACAGTGAACACTGGTAATATGTGTCCTCTGTGAGTAGGAGCAACACAACAAGCCAGACAAAAAGACAGACAGACCTACATAGGAAGACAAAGGGACAATTAGCATGTAAGACATTTTGATTTTATGGGCTAGACAAGAAATATCACTATTGGTTTTTTTTTTGGTTTTTTTTAATAATTGAACTTTTTTGGAAAATATGTGATGTGGTTTTTCATTAAGTTCTGAGAATTTGAGTAATTTCAGAGATAGGAAAAACATCAAACAGCTTTCTCCCATACCAGAGATGGTCACTGTGATATTGTATGTCACCCCAGCTGTATAGTAGCTCTTGTGCTGCTGTTTAGGGTCCAGTGAGTAGAAGGTTTCATTGGTGAGCAGTTGTGGCCGCAGGCATCAATAGCTTTCACTAACACAGCTAGAACCAATGCAGTTGAGAAACTGAGGTATTCTTGGCTCAAGACTAAGTTTAGATCACAGATTGTTTGCTGCTCCAGTGCCCCACATGATTCACTGTTCTGGTCATTATTCCTATGAGCACATTGCAATCCTCTAAATTGGCTGTAATCTGTCCTGCCTGTTTGATTTATTCTACTAAACCCTGCTGTCTGCATCGTACTGTGGCTCTTGCATTATATTTGTCCAATTTCTGCAAGCTTTGTCATTTTCATGCAGTGTATTTCTCATTAAAATACAAGTGGTGCATCTGAGTGGGCTCACATAGACATGCAACACACATGAGCGCACACATATACTTTGTTTAACCCCCAGGATTACTTATTGTATCCCAACTATTTCATTTGTTCTGACATGCAAGACTTGACCTTTAAATCGGATCAACTTCTCCTCAGTTTTCCCAACATTCATGTAAAAGCAGAGAGAGGTGTTAGTCATTTTTTATTTTTCTGTTTAATTAACATTCTAAATATTGGTTTCCACAATGACTTGTCTGATTGTGATAGTACTCCAAGTTGATACATTTTGTTTGAGCATAATGTTTTTTTGTATAGTTTTAGGTTGAATAAAGACATCTGGGGACATACTAACCGGTTTAAAGATTACAGGCAGAAGGATAATGTATGATTCTTTTTCTTTTTGACACTTTCTGACACTGTTTCTATTTCAGGGTCCGACTTTCAGTGTACCACGCATATAATCCCAGTGAAAAATGAGGAGGGCGTGGTGATGATGTTTATCTTAAATTTTGATTATGTCGTGGATGAGGAGAGTGACAACTCCACAGAGAAGATAAGCCCAACATCCCCTACAAAGTCAGACCAAAGTGAGTATTTGATATTACATTCTTTCCTTACTATGATATAAAAGTACCTAAAAAGCATTTCTATGTAGCAAAAAAAAGGGACTATTTTAGTCTTTGTTGGCAGGGTATTTTTTTTGTTTCCTTTTCTTAATTGTTTTATGTAGAAAGTTATTCTACGCCAGTATTTTGTAGGCAAAACAAATCATGACATAGTGCATACGCATGGAATTGCATCTGTCATGCATTTGTTACATTTTAATCAAATTTTTTTTTTTCAAATTAAACCTGCACATTTTGTGAGATGGCACCATTCCTTCGAGCAGCAACAAGGACCTTTCATTTTGTGTTGATTCTGGTGGTCCTTGTGGATAAAAGCGGTAGCGTTTCTACCCCCTCATTTCATTTATTTCAAGAGGATCACGACCCAGTGGCTATCTACAAACAGCCAATCTTCTCTCTGATGGTCTCTTGTGCTTGTGTAGGTCATAAAGAGGCATCAGTATTAAATTGAGACTGTTTCATAACGAGTCAAAATGTCCTTGTAGTAGGTAAAAACAACTAATTTCTCACTCCTTTAACAAAGGGCGGTTGCATAAGTGGATGGCTGCAATTGAGATAATTATATAAAATAGCCTCTAGAAATTAAGAAATTAAGCATTAGAGATTTTGATTGGTTGATATGCTCAGTGTAACCTCCAATCATGTTTCCAAAATAGTGTGCAGTTTGCCAGTACAATGCAGTTTGAGTGGTATGCTTACGTAAGCTTATCTTGTGAAATATGTTTAATTCTTAATCGTTATGTCTGTTCTATGTCTTTTTGGGAGAGCAGCATACACTTACACTACATGCATGTACTGCCCCCCTTATTTTTTTATGTGTGATGTGTGTCAGTAGGTGTAAATGTCAATGAGACATTCCAGCTCCTCCCTGATTGGAGGCACTCAGCATCTCTTCTCTGACTGGAGCTCAGCTATCCACTTCACTCAGCATGAATTCCTCCAAGGCACTGGCATTAGGCTTCTGCTGTACTGTGTGTGTATGTGTGTATTTAAGTGTGTGCATGCATGCATATGTGTGTGCACGCGCGTGCATTCATGTGTGTATCTGCTTATGTGTGAGTGAGTTCCTGTGTCCGTTGCTAGCATTGCTAATCAGAGCTGATTGCTTGTGACAGTGCTTCAGCAGGGGGACCTGTGGGTAGATGGGCCAGATAAACATATGATGTGACTTTACATTACAGAGTCTTGACTACATGAACACATCACACATAAAGTATGACGTTACCATTGTCTTTGGTCCTTACATGACACCAGGGAATAAAAGTGTTATTTTAAGCTATATTTGGTTTGATTCAGAATTGCAATATGGCCAAAAGCAATATGCAAATCGCAGAAAATGTAATTCTTTGATAAAAGTAAAATATGTGAGAAAACAGAATTATAATGAAGTACTCTAGTCTGAAGAGATGCCCTGGTATACAAATCTTGTTCTCCAGTTTTAAGAAAACCTGTTTGGTACAGACCCCGTCATCATGATTTTAATATTTTTTTCAGTGAAAATAAAATTTGTGATGTAAAAACTATCAATACCACACTAACTGGGAATCATATCACATTCTCAACGTCGGTTTAAGTAACTGCAATATAATTATTTGATGTTTTTACTATATCACATATCACAACATATTGTCTTTCATATTGTCCACACCACATATTTCGTATTTCTTCAGATGCGTACAGCAAATACATTTATTAGTAGTATTTAACAGCATTTAGACCATAACTCGACACAAAAAATTGGCACTGGCAGCTTTAAAAATTTAATTACTTTCAGGTTATCAGGCCTTTAAAGTAGAGTGACAGAACTAAATAGGACAAACCTCTACATCAGCTCTTTCAAAGTTGTTTATTTAGCATTTTACCTGAAATGATAAGGAAAACATTTCCAAAAAGCCTAGCCATACATTTTAGTGTGGCAGCCTGTAAAAAGTGATTTTTGGACATTGGAGGGCTAATTATGATCCGGTGCTGACAGCAGGCAATAAGCCTGCAGGTGTCAACTAGCACAATATTGAGCCTGGAAGAGAGTAATCCCTCTTTCCCTCAGCTGCCATCTAGAACACACCATTCAGCAACCTCAACATGCCTTCGAGGACCAAAACTAGAGACAATAGTTAGAAATTACTCAGCACAAAGATACACTGTTCAGTGCACAGAAACTTATTTTTACTGTTCAGTACACAACAGGATGCATATCATACATTGTACAATACAATTTACTTTCAGTTAAAACTTTAATTATAAAGGTTCCCCATCACTATGTTTACTCTCTTTTAATTATTTAACTCTAATTTCATACTGAGTGATATTCCAGCTATGTAATTGCTGCTGCACGCAGTGGAAATTATGCTTTTACTGCAGCGACTCCTGAATGGGTTAATTATACATATCAGTAAGAACTAACTAGATGCTGTTGTGGAAGAAACATATTTAAGCCAGAGAGTAAATATAGAAATCTGACATTTACAATCTTGTCAGTGGTTGCCTGAAACTCCATTAGAATCAATGAACATTCAGGATAGAGGCCCAGCCAAGCTATTTTCTTTCAATACTCAAAGATTCAAAGGATCAGAAGGTCCACTCCAAGCTCTCTCCTCATCCTATCCCTAAGGGCAAGCCCAGACACCCTGTGAAGGAAAGTCATTGGAAAGTGACTGCCTATACAATCTAATTGTCTTGAATACTACCCACAGCTCATGAGTATGGCTGACGGCTGGAACATAAGTCAGCTGGTAAAACAAGAACTTCTTCTTCATATTCAGCTCCACTTTTCAACAGTCCCATATAAAGTCCACATCATTGCCACATCGATCGTCCTGTTAATCTTACACTCCATCTTGCCCTCACTTGTGAACAACTCCTTCCCTTGAAGTAGCAACTCACTCTCAGCTCAAATTGCAACAATCCCCTGTTTTCCAGCAGAATACAATGCTGGTGCTGATTTTCATCTTCGCCCATTTACACTCCCAGTAACAAGAACACACATTTATTTTGGGGAGAATAGGTCAACATGTCTTCTTAAGTATTAGGATAAATCAACCCCCCTTGTAAAGCATTCTCAGTCATCCAGGTAATAGCGTATTTGGAAGTACTTTATCATTTCCAGGAGTTGCTGTTTTATTCCGGAAGACATTTCATCACTGAACCAAGAGATTTAATCAGTCCACTCTCTAGTATGGAGTGCCAAGTAGGTAAACCTCTTTAGATCATTTGCACTTAAGTCACACAAGAGTCTTTCTGGCCACATAAGTTGTTAAAATCACATGACAGTTAGCCTATGTGTGAGTCAATCCCATGAATTAGGGTGTGAATTGCTTTTAAATCTTTTTAACACCTCAGAAGAGATGCCAGGACAGCACTGTAAGCTGCTAGTGAGCCTTTTTTTTAGGAAAGCTTTAAGCAAGATCTAGTGAAAAAAACTTAAAATAAAAAGATTAAATAACAGTCATTCTATGCATAGGTGGAGTGTCCATGAAACTAAAGAGGATCTTCCATAAACACAGCATCCCTGAGTTTTACAAACCCAAACCCAGCAAATCCAGTCCACCCTAATGACCATACACCCAGATATAAGCACAACGATGTTTATACACAATCTAATAGACCCTTTTTCACAGCAGCCATTTTGACATGTAATAGGCATTACCATTGATACTAATTCAAGTTTTGTTTCATTTAGTGTAGCAGAGTCTTTTCAGTAAATCAACATGCACGATAGCAGCACCCTGACTCTGTTTGACCTGAATGGAACGGTACCTTAATTAGTTTAATTGGTAACACCTGTGTTTACCCGACTATTTCATGTCAAAATGGCTGCTGTGAAAAAGGTGTGTTCAAGCAGAAATGTACAGACCATTGACAGTATATATAATATACTGGGTACAGACCCATAAATCAGTGAGACAAAACAACCAGTGAACAAACCCAATATGGCCCAATATGAGAGAGCAAATCTTAAATCTCAGCAGTCTACCGTATATAAACAACAATAAGGGACACTCCTTTGAGGACACCAATGTAAATATTTTTGGCAGAGAAGACAAAAGGTTTAAAAGGGGAAAAGCCACCTATGTCAAATTGGAACAACCAACTCTGACCAGAGGAAAGTGAGCAATAACAACTCAGCCACCTTGATGTTCCTTCCTTGGCTGCTGTACTCCTTCATACCTATAACTCTAAAAATTGTCATGACTCTCATGTGATGTGAAGGTGTGAAAAACCAAGAAGTTTAAAATCCTTAGAGACCCCACAAATCAATAGAATTGATGAAGCCTCCTGAATGAGTAGTGACATGTCTTCGAACCTAAAATAGCAACAACTCTGGTTGTCTTTGATTTTGTCTGTGTGGATACCAGATTCACCATTTCTCCCTCAGATATGTACAATGCATGTTTACTCACTTTACATGTTTATAGAATAATTTTTATTATTAATAAGTTTTACTGAAGCTAAAGAATGAGTTGGCTTTGGTTACAAGCACAATTGCCCCTTCACTTGAAACAAGACAGAGTCAGTCAACAGCCATATGCTATCAGCTCAGCAGGTGTAATGTTTACCATGTTCAACATATTAGTTGAATGTTTTAGCTACTTAGCAGTAAATAGAAAGTACAGCTATTACAAAATACAAGCATTGAGCTGATGAAGGTGCACAATTAAAGGACTCACCAAAGTTCTGAGGGGAACATTAATGTGTTTACCAAATGTTATGAAGCATGCATCTAATAGTTGTTGAGAGGCTTCACTCAAAAATACAAATGTCAACCCCATGGTGGCACTAGAGGAAAAGTCAGGGAGCCAAAAAAAAAGTCAGTAGGCTTCATCCTTCAGGGACCATAACTATATGTACAAAATTGAATGCCTCTTCTTTAAAGAGTTGCTGAGATATATTTGTCTGGGCCGAGTACCAACTGACACGTCAACAGACCGTCATTTCCATCCCTAGAGCCATGCCGCTACTGTTACTAAAAATAAAGCTCTTCTCTAAGTTGTTCTCCATTAAATTTCATAAAAAAGAAATGTGACAACACTTTACATTTAACAATTGTATTCCAACTGAAAAAGTCAAATTATTTTAAGTATTAGTAAAATATGGGTAAAGTTTTTATAGTACTGTGTAATGCAAAATGCATCTGTGTAGTATAGTATGACTATATATAGTCATATATATATATAGATACAGTATATTTTTAGGACAGACAGACAATATATGTTCTGGTCATGATGCCGTTATAGAAGGGCTCAGTTGTGATCATTTGTACTACAGTGATTTACATTGCTCAAGGATATTTTCCTTAAGCCACTCTAACAACAAACCACATCTTATTGGGTTGATATAAGCCAGACTTGTCCATACTAAAATATGTTATATGAGTATTATATAAGCATTCAGCCAGAGCAAAAGTACAGATAACGCAGTGTCCCTGCAGAGAAAAGAACAGCATGGTTGTCCATATCTCCTGCCAGCTCAGGATGTCATTACGTTCCTCTCCAGGAAACTTGTTGAGTGTCATGGCTCTATTGTAAGCTGCTATAGTTGTAACATCAGCACATTTGGCCAGGGAATGGAAACAGATGGCAGTGACATTATGTAAGGAGGGTGCTGAGGGATGGGTGCCTCACGAGCGAGGCAGGGTTCACTTTAACTCTCTTTCTATTGTTAATGAGCCAAAAGTTTCACTCTGTCCTGAGAAGTCATTAACATTTGCTTCTGAGTCCATTCTGAAAATGCGCCTTCTGTACAAGAAATGGGTTTCTGTCTCAAATCAATGAGGCATAATAAATCAATGGTGCTATCTTCTCTTTCTGCTTATGGGCACTGAAAGGAGATATGTTGCAATATGGCTAAAACCAAATCTCTTTTGATTTGTCTTCATTTCATAGTTTAGTGCAAAATGTTGAACACAAGGGGATACAATGTTCAGCTAAAGTTTTGTGAAAGATTTGAAGTTACAAAAGATTTGCCCTGTTTGCCTGGGGACGAATACAGTATAGACATCTTATAACAGCTTAAACAGCTAAAAAAAGTAGACACCCAGCACTCCTGAGAAACCAGAATCAAATTGTGTTAATTTTAGTATTCGTAGCAGACGTGTTTTAACACCTGCTGTTCTCAACGTAGGGCCTCTGTGTACTTTTTTCATATCACTTTTGTCACTACAAAAGGGAAGCTGACATACAAAAAGAACGAAGGTAGGCTATACATTATAACATAATAGACCATCATATAGTCAGGGATATTAGTGAGGGGCTCCACTGGTTCCACTATCATGACCTGAGCAATTACTGAAAATTGGTCTGTGATTTGAGTGTTTTATCAGTCTTCACTTACAGACCTATTCATATGTTTTAAGCTGAATAAACCTCTTATCCAGCAACAAATTTCATTTTTCATTCATACAAAAATGATGTTATGCTTTTGAGATGTTTTTATTGTATCAGTGCTGTACACTAAAATTGTATTCTTTCTCAATTTTTAGGGAGGAGTAGATTCTTCCGCTTCCGCCAGGCTGCTTTGAGCTTAATGAATACCAACAAGCAATCTCTTCCACAAGAGGACCCAGATGCTGTGATGGTGGACTCGCCCAAAGAGAATGAGGACTCAGTAGCCCTGCAGAACTTCCCCTCACCCACCAAGAGCCTTTGCAGTCCCATTGAGGCTAATGACACGCATGGCCTCATTGGCTCAAGCCACCACTCTTCCCAGGCTAGCATCGGTCCTGAACCACTTGACCATTCATCCCCTAAACTCCCCTGGGAGAAGCTGTACCAGACAGAGCAACACCAGACCTCTACCACCCTGTCAAACACCTTCCCCAGAGGCAGTATCAACAGCATGAGGCGAGCCTCATCCGTCCATGAAATTGAAGGCTACTCCAATTCCAAAAGCGCATTCAGGGATCGTCATACAAATGAAGGTATGTACTACAGTGACTACTGTTAGTAAAGCTTATAGCTCCAATCTGCAATTAGTGTACACTGGCCCAGACATCACATTATATGAGTTTGCATTAGAATGCAGACCAATGTTAATGAGACCATATAACACTGTAACTTTACTTTTTGCTGTTATCTTTTCCTTACCGTGTATAGGTTTATTAAAATGTTTTTTTTTTTCTTGATTTGCTCTGTCCATATGAGGCTGCATTTAGACAATGGTAGCGATGTCAGAAGTAATCATGTATTTCTGCCCATGATTTCATTGCTCTGTGCTGTTTTGGAGCATGACTTTGAAGCAAGGCAATCAGCATAAATGCTCTTCACAGATCCACTTTTGGTGGACAGGTTGAGTGGGTTTGCTGCACTTAATTATGTAAAATGGTTGTACTTGTACCAATGTAGTGATTTTGTCACATCAGCAGTCTATAAAATCATATAATGTGATAATTTAAGCTTCATATCTGTTCTCATCATATGCTAATCAAAGCATTTTAAAGTAACCTGCATGAATGGATGTTTGTGTTATGTGATACCATGGTAGCTCTGCTAATGTGCTTCAAGCTACACACGCCATTAAGCACACAGTATCTGTGGGAAAATCCAAAACAAATGCATTGCTATCCATAGGCCATCATAGTGTTAGGTTACAGAAATTCTTACTCTGTACTCAGTAGCTTTGTGTTGCCACACATAAAATTTCCTAAAATGATTTTTAGCAAGGAATGCACTTACTCCAGTACCATACTGTTCGCAAATGTGCATTGATGCAAACAGGAGCACTGTGGGTGAAAACTTTGCTTTTAGGAACATGTAGAATTGCAAGGCTTATGTCTCTAAATGAATCACCAGTTCTTCTAAATTGGTAATTGGTTCTAATTCACAGCTAAGTAATCGACCTTATTCTGGAAAACATAAGATAGCTGAGCTGTAGTCCATTTCCCATTTGCAAAAAGTAGGCTAGCTAAATATTCCCTGTAGCTCCTCCACTATCCACTGATGCCAGAATACATTAGTCAGTGGTACTATTTACTTGTAGGCTGCTACTGCACAGCTGGCTACATCAATACAGATCTTATATATTTTATAATCTTACATACAATTATACAGAGCACTATGTATCACTGTTATGTTACCTAAAATACATAAAACATGAAAATTAATCAGTCAAGCTGTCCTTTAATCTTTGTTTAATCTTTGTCCATGTTTGCAAAACCAACAACTGATATCATTATTTCACTAAAATATTAATTGTAATTGCTTAAGCTCTTAAACTGATTTAAAATCTTATCAATGGATAGTTTGAAATATTGTATAAGATTTTGTGAAATGTAAAAATAAGTTTACCAAGGGTACTAACGTGACTGTTCTCTGTTCTAAACCAATAGGCCCTTTTAATCACATGAAGTCCAGCCTGCTTGGCTCTACCTCTGATTCTAACATCAACAAGTATAGCACCATCAGCAAGATCCCTCTGATTGCACTCAACTTCCATGAGGGGACTGATAAGAAGACTCACTCTCCACCAACATCTGAGACAACCATCATAGCACCAAAGGTCAAAGACAGAACTCACAATGTCACCGAAAAAGTCACACAGGTGAGTCAGGAAGTCCCTCTTTGTTTGATATTGGAGTATCTTCTGAAACATATGAACTTTATGCTAGCAGCTTATTGTCATGTGGCATCGGCAAATTGGTCATTTTGAAGGTGGAACTGAGGCAAAATCTTGAGCCACAATCTCGATAATCCTTGGTTTTGAATTTCAAAGATCAAAATTGGTGGGGTGTATGGATGCGAAGCTGGCAAATGGATTATGTCTTTGTCACTGGACTAAGGACTTTGACTGTAGTCATTGGTTGGGGGTGCCTTCTGGGAGGGTTGTGGGATAGCGTGATATACTGATACACAGAACATGATATAGCCTGCAGGTGAAATTTCTTGCTGGCAGGTGAAAATAAGCAGCTGGTGATTCCCTGGCTACCCAGGTCAACAGTGGAGCAGTGGCATTAAGGACAAGAGTGAAGGGTAACTGGACATTCTTAATTGCTGAGAAAGGACATTCCACTGATCCCTCATCAAAAAGAAATTCATCTTTTTACGTGCAACCCCAGATGCATGTTCATAACACCTCTGCTGGGATTCACCAGGGATTCAGTTTTTTTGTTCAAGGACAGTGCAGCAGGACCAACACTTCCTGTCATATGGATGAAACAAGGGCTATCTAGTGGCACAATTACATGTTGACGAGACTAGCAGCGCAGCTGATGCCAGCTTGCCAAGGACGGTTAAGCATGCAGGCATTTGTTGCAGTTTTGATTAGTGAATATAATATAATGTGAATAAGTTTCATCTGATTACATTGAACAGAAAACCAAAATAAATATACCTATATTTTTGGGATAACTTTAATCATTCTGAAAAACTCTAGAGGTAGGTAGAAATAGCCATGCACAGCAAATTTGAAAACTGTGTGTAGGTCAAACTACAACAAGCGAGCAATGTTAACAGTAACCAAGCACAATAGAGGCCTAGAAACCTTATATTGAAAGTTCTTTCAACAATGCTTTCTCATTCATAAATTAAGACAAACTATCATGATTAAATGCTCTCCCCTCCCTGCTGACTTTAGCTTGGAGACACCACTGAGATGTGAACACTGCATCTCCTTCCTGACTGTTAGCATGGGGAAATCTATAATTCATGTGTTGAAGATAGGGGGAATGTGCTGAAATGAATAGAAAGACCTGCTGCTCTCATCTTCAATCCTGTACTATTTTCTGCCATATAGGGACCCCACTCTCTTTGTCTGCCACTGCTTATTAAGCCAAAAAAGGGGACAGCTTGGCCTTCCAGAGCACACTGAATAATTTACAATCCAGTCAGAGTTCATTCATATGAGGAAATTAAAACAAATGTTTGGTCATCAAAATATAAGTTGAAAAATATCTATTGGAAGAGGTTTAGACAGCATTCCTCCACTTTATAATCTATACAGTAAATGCTTACAGTTTTTTACCAAGAGTACAGAATGTGCCTCTTGCAAATGTGGAACAAGTCAGTGGCACATTATTCATGTGGCCAGGACATAGGTGATGTACTTGTCATACTAGGTGACTGCCATTACCTAATACTGTTTGACTGCAGAGCACTTACATTAGTGTCTCCGTTGCTGTCAAGTCAGTCCTTGAAGTGTGTGAGCTGGTCCTGGTGGGCTTCAGTGATAATTATCATAAGAATCGATCAAATTGTCGAAGGGATGATCAACAAAACAGATAGCTTTTTTGACCCACAAAGAGAAATTCAATTTATATCAATTTAGGCAGGTGACAGAAAATCCACTTTTCATATTATCAGTGATCCTATTCAACTAAGAGGTTAACCCCCATTAAAATTAAGTAAAGGTGGAGTGGTCCAATCCGGTGTGTTTCTTTACTGTTCTGATCCTCTCTTAACACTCCTCCAGGTCCTGTCACTCGGAGCTGATGTGCTGCCAGAGTACAAACTCCAGACAGCCCGCATTGACAAGTTCACCATCCTCCACTACAGCCCATTCAAAGCTGTGTGGGACTGGCTGATCCTGCTGTTGGTCATCTACACGGCAATCCTCACTCCCTACTCGGCTGCTTTTCTTCTCAATGACCAAGGGGAGCATAAGAGGCGTGAATGTGGATACTCCTGCAGCCCTCTTAATGTAGTGGATTTAATTGTGGACATCATGTTCATCATTGACATCCTCATAAACTTCAGGACCACTTACGTGAACCAGAACGAGGAGGTGGTCAGTGATCCAGCTAAGATAGCAATCCATTACTTTAAAGGCTGGTTCCTTATAGACATGGTGGCGGCAATCCCCTTTGACCTTCTTATCTTTGGCTCAGGATCAGATGAGGTATGTTATCTCTAATGCATATATATTTTTTACCTGTTTTTTTTTGCTCCCAGGGAGCTTTACTGCATATCAACCCAGCCATGCTTGCACTGTTATCCATTCACTAAGTCCAGACTTGTGCCCCTGGGCCACTACTTAAAGCCTGAATCTTTCTGTCTCGGCTCTGAAGGATTACTTTAAATTGCATGTTTGTTTGTTTTTTTTCTTTTTTTTTTTCTTTTTTTTGAATGGTCCCATTCTAGAATCCATTTACACGGATTAATGGCTTACCAAATGGCAATCAATGATGCATTTATGTGAGGAGCAGGCCAACAGGGCTGTGCGCACAGCTTACATGCAGATGTGAGATGGCCATTGGTAGGCTGGCTGCCAGGCCTGCTGGCTTGTTTGTTGGTAGGATATGTCCCCTCAGGCTCTGGATCCACTTCAGTGCTTTATCGTGCTTTGTAGGCACTCCATTACACCAGAAAAGCTTGTGATTATAAACCATAATCATCTTTTCGACCACCGCTGCTGCTGCTGAGTCAGTTGAGTGAATGACAACAAATCAAAAGGAAGATGGACATTTGTTCCTCTCACAACATAGTGTAACAATCAAATCACAGAACTGGCCTGGCAAATCTGCACAATTAGTTGCAAAAAACATAATTTTTTGACACTATTACACTATTATTTTCATTTCAAACACTCAAAAGGGAAGACTAGTCGTTTCCCTTTCAGGTCCATAAATAGTCATATACCGTGATAACATGCTGATACATTACTGGCAGTCATAGCTTTACAGCTTGGTGTTTACAATTTTCAGACTGAACGTGCAAAGTCCCGCTCAACTGCATTCCCATTCAGAAAATAAAGGAACAGAGACAGTGGCAGATGGTTTTCACAAGGCTCATTTAATTTAGCAGCTTAATAAGACGGTTTTAACCTACAAGCGCTTAAGTAAACCTTTTGATTAGAGCTGGGAACATATTTGAAATAGATTTCAATCAAAGTCTTGTTGCTTTCAAAACGACTTAGTCTTGCCAGAAGATTGAACGTACTGTGAGAGGCATTATGGAAAATTGGTACCATGCAGTGATTTGTTGACAATCATAATTATTATAGAAATAGACAAACAAAAGATTTATTTCAAGCTGTTTCACTGTGAGTGCGGAGGAAAAGAAGTTGAGTGCTTTGTCCCAACTTGAACCCCTTAAATGTTAGAGAGAGTTCCCATTAGAGAGGAACAGAGAGAGAGGGAATTGGGGTTGTAGTGCTGTACAGCTGTGTTACATAATTGCTTGTGCAGGTACATTTAAGACTTAATTGAACTTTCATTTGATTGTAGAGTGCAGTGTGCTTGTAGGTTTATCCAATACGAGATTTTCTAATTAGTTTTTTTTCTGGTGTTTTTAGATAAGTTATATTTGTAAACCCAGCAGTAAAACAGGCATATATTATCATAAGTTAAGAAGCACAAAAGCTACTGGTTTTCCTTCAAACTCTAAATTCAAATTAAGGGCTAACATACCAATAGACAAAAGTACTCATACTGATGGGTATTTTGAGTTTCCAATACATAAAGGCACCAGTCAAACACACTTAAGGCCTTTTTGTGCAAAACCATAGTGCTAACTATCAAAAAAACAGAGACATACATCAAGTTGTGAACACCAATAATTAAAATAAATAGATATTTAATTCTATTTTTGGAAGACCCAATTCATACATAAATGCAGCCTACTGTACATGACATAGCTGTTTTGGTGCTGCCAATTGTGGTAATTCAAAACATTTGCTGAAGGGAATGTTTGTGGTCATGGGAGAATAAAAAAATTTCAGTGGGATTACAAGTACTAGATAGGATACAGACCCAGACCACTAATGTCAAATGCAAAGGCTTAATTTGACACAGGGCAGATTGTCCCAAAACTGATCTTAAAGGCAGTGCAACAGGCAATAATTTAGGCCTTCATCATGGATCTAATTTCAAAAGAAGAAACCTCACAGTATAGTCAAATGCCATATGTTATATTGAAAAAAACATTCTTTCCATGAGTTTTTATTGTACTCCGAGTCATAAAAGGCTATGGAGATGTGTCTCCAAAAGTAACATAATGTAATAATGTAGTTTTGCTGTGCAGAATTATGAATGACAATGCTTAATAATGTCTGGATTCAAAAATAGTGAAACTATTGTTTAAACAAGTTTAACTTAATTCAGTAAAGAAACAGAATGAGGAAAATGTCAGATAGGTTTTGTTTTTAATTTGTCTTAGAAAAAACAAGATTAAATACAAGACTAACTGAGTGGTTAGGAAGGAAAGCCTCTCTCGTGTGCAGACATTAACTACACTTTCAAAGGTCATTCAGTAATTGTCAGGTAGATGAATGACCATGCTAATGGGAATGGTGGTTAGTGTTGCTAAAACCCTTCTTGATGACACAGAAGCAGCAACAAACTCCCAGGGACCCACAGAGTGAGTGTTCCTCCCTGTTCGGTGTTGAATAAATGAGAATTTATCTGTGGGCTGCTTCTGTCTTCACTTCTGTGTTCATTTGCTTTTAACCCAAGAACTGTGGGGAGTTGCCTCAGTAGAGTTAAAGAAACTCATTACCTAAGTTTGTGAACTGACTCTTAGGATTTGTCACAACTTTAGATTTGTCTGCTATGGCAGAAACGCAATAAATATAATAGTTTCTTAGTGAGAAAATTGCATGCCAAATGTCCAATGCTGAAATGAGATGCATGTTATTGTAATACTTCTACAGTATTGTTAGTCATATTAACATTCAAACTACTACTGTACATCTTTTTAGACCACCACTCTGATTGGCCTGTTGAAGACAGCTAGGCTCCTGCGATTGGTGCGTGTAGCCAGGAAGCTGGATCGCTACTCTGAGTACGGTGCTGCAGTCCTCATGCTGCTCATGTGCATCTTCGCCCTTATTGCCCACTGGCTAGCTTGTATATGGTACGCCATCGGCAATGTGGAGAAGCCCTACTTGGAGCACAAGATTGGCTGGCTGGACAATCTGGGCGTGTCCATAGGGAAGAGATACAACTACAGCGATCCTAGCTCGGGTCCCTCTATCAAGGACAAGTATGTCACAGCACTTTACTTCACCTTCAGCAGTCTGACCAGTGTCGGCTTTGGAAATGTTTCCCCAAACACCAACTCAGAGAAGATCTTTTCCATCTGTGTCATGTTGATTGGATGTGAGTATGTTATGGTCTTTTTATTTTCCTTTAGCATAACTTTATTCTGCTTTTATCTGGCACAGCACTTGACATAATTGAAGACATAAACAAACTTCACTGTCTGTCTTTATAGCAGCATTTATCCAAGTTAACAGTGTGTCTCTGTGGGTAAAGGCAATAAACTTGCAAAGCAGTCTGTCGAATGTAACTTACCTTATTAATTGATCATTGCCTGTATTTCAGCTCTCATGTATGCCAGTATTTTTGGAAACGTCTCCGCCATCATCCAGAGGTTGTACTCCGGTACGGCCCGCTATCATGCTCAAATGCTACGGGTGAAGGAGTTCATACGCTTTCACCAGATTCCCAACCCACTGAGGCAAAGGCTGGAGGAGTACTTCCAGCACTCGTGGACCTACACCAATGGCATCGACATGAACACGGTAAATAAAAAGGACCGCCATCATTAACCTACTGCTGTAACTGGATAGGATACCCAAAAAAATGAACTGATCGTGGAAATACTGTACATGCAAGATTCTAAAAAGCGCTTTCTCTCTCTTCTCTGCTTTTCATCTGGATTAACATCTCTCCATTGGTAAGAGCAGGAGGTACATATTTTTATTTCTTGTCATTTAAATGGCTAAATTCTGCACTGTTTAAAATAACAACCTCATCATCCTGACGGTGTCAACATTAAAAATTTAAAAAGTATGATTCCTGTGTGAATTCATCTCATTATTATAGTTTCATATGTTTATAAAGCAAATAAATTATATATTTGGGCAAAATATGTCAGTGTAAAACTACTAACATGCACTAAAAATGGCACTAATATTGTCACAATATAATATAATTTTGTCTTATTTCAATTCCATCTGAAATTGTATTTGCAATAGTTTTATCATCAACATCTGTTTGCAATCAACAAACTTCGTGCCTTGCCAAAAAATGTGTTCACCTGTGTCTTGTGTTCTTATTTATTAGTTTTATGCTCATTCTCGCTGTCACGTTAATTCTCAAGTAATTTTGTGGATTTTGGTAGAAACTCTTTCTCAATTTCCCATTAGTTCAAGAAACAAAGGTTTAGGCATTTAGGAGATAACCCAAGAATAAATGTTGTGCTGTGTGTCAATCATATAAATTAAAGCATAACATTCCCATAAATTAGCTTCTTACCCATTGCTGTGATTTATGGATCTACCTACTTAAAAGAATTGTTTTAATTAGCCATAATCTCATAATGATGAAATGGCATAACAATGTGATATACAGTAGCCTATAAAGGAGTGGGATAAAGCATAAAAGTTGTGATATTAAATGTGGTTAGTGGTCAGAAGAGTCTGTTTTTCTACTTTAACAAGTTATGTAAAAATAATAATGCATGCAGTTAATTCTTTTTTTTAAGCTGGATGTGCACATCAAAAGACTGAATTTAATCCTTGGCTCCTACAAATGAAAGGATTTAGGGTATAAAAACAGCGTCTTTGTTTGTTTGCATTTATTACACAATTCACTTTATCCTCACTTTAATATTATGTGTTACCAGCTCAAGAAAAGAAAGAGACGTAGCCAAAACTGAGCGGGCATGCTGCTGTGTCTTTAGCTCAGGGGGCGGTTACATAAATCCAGGTGGCAGTTATTTTTACATTCAACATTTGTTATGAAAACCCCACAAAAAAGCAATTAATACATCTTGATATCATTCATATCAATGCATCTTTATCAAGAGACAGTTTCTGCTCTATTACACTTGAGGTTTCTCACGATACACTAAAGATGTGATGTATATGCATCCGGCTGTGTTTAATAGTCTGTGACTCTGTAATGTGTTTATCATCCCATTCCCCTATAGCTGTGCTATTGTCAGGCTTCATAACAACTTCTCTTTGCAAAAGTGCATTCATCTTAACACATTTGCTGCTTCCACCAGGTCACAGAACGATTATCTAAATGCATCTTTTTGAGGATATCAAACCAATATTTTATAGCATTTTACTCACAAATTTATGTTTGCATCACAGGTATTAAAAGGTTTTCCTGAGTGCCTGCAGGCGGATATCTGCCTTCACCTCAACCGGAATCTTCTTCAAAACTGCAAAGCGTTCGAAGGAGCCACCAAAGGCTGCCTGAGGGCCTTGGCCATGCACTTCAAAACCACTCATGCCCCTCCTGGAGACACCCTGGTCCACAGCGGTGATGTGCTCACCGCTCTCTACTTTCTGTCCCGTGGCTCTATTGAGATCCTGAAAGATGACATTGTGGTAGCCATCCTGGGTAAATACAATCCCTTATTGTTCATGTATAATAATGTGCAACCTGAGTATTAGGTGCTAAATGAATAGAAGAAGAGACTGTTGTGCATATGCTATGAAAGCTGAAATTGTTATAGGTGGCGAAAGCTCCAGAGTTTCTTATTTGAGCCAAGATAGATCGCTTTTTTATTTGACCTTTTGCCAGTGCCCATCATCTGTATCATGGATGTAGCAACAGTGTCTATTGCTCTCAAAACCTCACCCTATCACAGGGAGGTGTGAACAACGGTAAAAGTCACCTCCCTATTGTACCGACGATCTCTCAGCTGAATGTCAGCATCAAATCTGTTGAGACAAAGACAAAACCGTTGTTCCACTGCTTTGGGTCTGATCTTGAAAATAACTCAGAGATGGTTTTATCAGTTTGCATTATATTGTTAGTGCTATCAGTATGCTAAGATTTAGCTTTTTGTTTATCGTCAAAGAGGAAGCACTTACAGAAAGGTTTATATCCACATGTGAATTGAAAGTGGATTCGATGTATAATGTCATGTCATTTCATTTTGCAGGAACTACTGTGCAAAGTAATGTTTTAGACAGAGAATGTGGCTTTAATACACACATGGATTACCACTGTTGACTTTTGTGAAGAGTATTAATTATGCCGTTTGTTATGATTGATCGAAAAATATTGAATTATTGATCAAGCTAAGCTCCTACTCTGCCCAGGATGCTTGATATTTTCAAAAATGTGATGAGCCTGCTGTCATAAGCTCAGGAAAGGATAGGTAGTGCTGTTCCCCAATGGACACGCATTATTTTAACATAGTAATACTTATAATGGAGCTAAGCATGACATCAAAGAATTAACTGTTATAATGTGAATCCTTACGTGAATAATTTTCAAGTCATTACAGCAGCTAAACCACATCATGTTCACACATTTTGACAAGAATGGCAAGGTGTGCTTGCCGCCCCCCATTTCTGTCCTCTGGGCAACAGGGCTGTGCATGTGGCAGGTTTGAGACTCTGACATTTCTATTAAGTGGCTCCATGAAAGGTTGTTTGGCAATTTCAAAGAACATGGTGAAATAGCTGCCACTTTTTTGACAGCAAAGGGAAATGAGTTAAAGCTGCAAAATATAGATTATTAAAAAAGGGCAGTAAACTGACAAAAACAATTGCCAGCTCTAAATGTATTAATAAAATTTTTCCTTAGTAATATAGTAATACTGAATACTCATTACTCTTATTTGAATAAAGAGTATTTATCTTTTTCCTCACGGGTGAACCACAACCAGGTGCTACAGGCCAAGCCTGGATTAAACTTGCCATTATTCATGAGATGAATGCTCTCCAAAGCTGCACCTGACAGAATGGGGTTTAAGCTTAGCAAAAGCTGCTGCATCACACAAAACCCATTATTAACAAACACACTGGAAAAGTCAGTGATCTCATAGATCAGCCCAGTTATATTTCATACAAAAATAACGCTCTATCAGCACCATTTGGCTCCAGTTTGTTTGAAAAAACTTGTATGTTGCTCAGGGTGTTATCACCTCCCAAATTACCAGAGCCTCTAACAAGGTAGCGGTCAGCTGATAGTGCTAAAGCTTTTTTCCCTCTCTAATGATAGCGAATCCAACAAGGCTACTAGCATTGTTCCACAGGTGAGGAATTAGTGTCTTGCACTGCCATCCAGGCTAATGACTATCTAAATCCTTGTGTTGAAAGCTGTATGTGGGGGGAGAGATACACCACTCTGTGTGAGGCTGTCCTCTGTGGTAGAAAGGTGTCCGGTGCATGCTGTGAAAGGCACACTGGCAGCCAACATATCATATCTCTTTCTCCTGAACCCCTGCTTACAGTGTTGGCATTTAGTGAACCCCGGGACCAACAAAGGGATTTTTCATCACAGCCTTTAAACCAGACCTCTAGTGCTTTTTTTTATACAAACTTGACCCTTATTACAGTTTTTATTCCCCAGTTTGAAAACTAAGCCTGTGGTAGATTTCATGACTTCCTAGATGTTTGCAGAGGAACTGGCTTCATTACGCGATAGCATTTATCAACATAAAAGTCCACAACAAGTGTGTCAATCACAATCTAACCCTCCTTTCCCTCCACATCAAAGTTGCTTTGAGTTAGCAGTTATTCCTCAGCGTGAATAATGGATCAAAGATAGAAAGACAACTGATGCACAGGCCTTGGGAGAACATCTACACCGAGAGGAAAGGCTGTTTGATTTTTATTATCCACAAAAACAAACACGTCTGGTTCCCTTTACTGAGAGCCTGAGGAACAGCAAGATAAGTCCCCCTAGGAAACATGACATAAATTCTTCCTTTCAACGGGCATGACTACTTGTAGAAGTAAAGCTGACATCTTTTCCCCCATCCCAGCGAGCCTTTCAAGAAGATTCATTGTCTCTGTGTGTGTTGATGCCAGGAAAAAATGACATCTTTGGAGAAATGATCCACCTCTCTGCCAAGCCTGGGAAGTCCAATGCTGATGTGCGAGCTCTGAGTTACTGTGACCTGAGCACCATTCAGAGAGAAGATCTGCTGGAGGTGATAGACATGTACCCAGAGTTTGCTGACTACTTCTTCAACAACCTGGAGCTTACCTTCAACCTCAGAGATGAGTCTGCAAAGGTAGACGATGATGTAGACCTACATGTGAAGGTAGTTAATGCTTTTTAACAAGTGTGGCTGCCCGATCCTGCCCAACAGAGATAAGAAGGAAACTTGTTTGCTACTTTTATCATCAATTCTGGGGGATATTCTGTGTTTAATTCAGAATTTTATTGATTAAGACTTTCTCCAAACAAGTTTTAACATCTTTTGGTTGCAGTCTAATGAAGTATGCAATATGGTGATTCATATGTACATCACACCTATAAGCATGTGTGAGACATGCATGGATATGGTCCATGTATGTACATATATAGCAACAACAAGCACGATTTTCAGATAACTTGAAAATGTAAAAAAAAAAAGTATAATGTTACAATAGCTAATACTGAGAAGTAAGGAATTTTTAAATAAAAGAAAATGTAATAATCCATCGTAACATTTCATTTTTTCCAGACCTGGTAGTTAGTAGCTAACAAGTGAGACATCCTGTTTCCTTCTCATCTCTGTTGAGAGTTGCCCAATACACAGAACGGATCGGGCAGCAACAACAAGTATTCACACTGACTATGGGGATTCACATAAATACTTAAAATTAGATTAGATTGTATTAATCTTATAGCAATGAGTAATATTGACCACTAATTGTTTTAACGAATCGATTCTAATGCTCACATTGCTGCAGCCTTCAAGTTCCCAAGATTGTGATTCAGATGGTGAGGGCACTAAGAGCACTAAAAGAAGGATCTCTTTCACACCAGATGTATCTAAAGGTAAATTAATCTGCACAGGTCCAGTACAGCCTCTTTCCACATGCTTTGTGGTTACAAATTTGTTCTTTGTTATTGTATACTGAGTGGTGTTCCCTGAGGACATCTATTCCATACGGAATACAGTACAGTGTTATTCCACTGACTCCTGTTGATTGCCGTTCTACAGGGGAAAACAAGGAAGTGGGGAGAGATGTGGAGAGGGAGAGGGAGTCTAACTCGTGCCTAAAGAGATCTACAGAAGTCCTGGGTACCTCTCCACTCAATGCCGCAGTCCTGGACTCAAATTTTGTTGTCAGAGACAACGTGGAGAGAAGACCATCTTTTGAGGGTAATATATTTTCTTTAACAAATGAATTATTTTGTGATATTCTTTACTGTTTTGACAAGAACTCTTAAATAAAGTGTTGCTAGGGGATCCTGGGTGGTGCAGGGCAATAGCATAATTGGTGGATCATGTCCTCATGTATTGCTGCAATAGCGATTCCTGTTGGATGGTTGGAACAAATGTGTGGAGTGGGTTTAGTAAGAGATCCATGAGGTTAAAGGCATATCTTACTCCAAAACAGACAATTATAGTCTCCCTCAACAGGTCAAGGTAAATGGTTGAATTACACTGTTCCCATTACTAAGTAATCAACCAGGAATGTGCACTTGCATAGACAAAGCAGTGATCTCATGAAAATTAAGGAGAAAGATGCTTTTTCACATAGTGCTAATGTTGGTCTGACAAGTACCACAGTACTGGGACATTAGCCATTCAGAAGAGGGAGAAAAAAATGAAACATTTAATGGTTGAGTTGAATCACATCAACAGCTTAATATAATTATCATCCAATTATTATACACAGTCAATACAAGTCAAGCATTACAAGCTTGACAAAGGCATTTTTTATTTCATGGCTATTGAAATGCATAGCGTCATATTTTTTTGTGTCCACTCTTTTACATATCAACAACAGCCAATCCACTGACCTATTTTATACAATAGAGACACAACTATGACACAGGGGTCAGACAGAGATGTGATTCAACTCTCTTGTAATTTAGGAGGTCTTTGCTGTGCAGTTTCATGTGTCTAATATTCACAGCTGTATAAGGGGGGGTCAAGCTTTAAATCTAAATACATAGATCTGCAATAATAAGTATCTACCTTAAGCAGTATGATTGCTATCAATCTGCAAACTCAGTCGTTCCAATGAAACAGAAGTGAGTCTGGGGAGTCTGGCAGAGATCTAAAATACACTACAATAACTGACTATGATAACTTGATATAGAAATCGCAGGACTTTGTGTGGGCATAGCACATCCCACTGACAAGAATGGCAAGCCAAGTAGTACAAGACAGACAGTTGGAGATATTGAGGGAAATAACTGAGTGACACACTGGAGGTGTTGTTAATCTCTACTGCTGGAAGGATAGAGAAAATAAGGTGGCATGAGGGCAGGGGTAAGTGCCATCGTAGTGAAGGCACACACAACCTATCTATATGACACATCACACCACAGTAGTGCAAACCCACCTGCTGGACCAGATAGTGTAATCAGAGAACTAACCATCTCTGTGTTTAAAATCACAAAAGAGGCTCCATACATATCACTGAACTGCCAGCTGAGCACTAACATGTGTCTAGGAGAGATAACAGCAAGGTTAGTTTGCTACTGGAAAACACTGCATTAACAATTCTCCCAGCACAAGGGCATGATGAATTACAACAAAGAACCTACACGCAGCTCTCCTGTAGAGATTAATTACATTCTATTTTAGTGGGGTGTTTTTTTGTGCAGTGATGACGTTGTTCTGACCCACATGTTAGGATGTAAAGCATGCGTGTTGGTTTGGCTCTCCAGATCTGTGCTGTGATAAATGGGCCTGTAAGAAGCCTACGGACTTCCTGGATGAGTCAGCACAGTTCCAGGAGCTGAGAGAGGACGATAATTCAGCCAGCGAAATCACGTATGGAGAGGTGGAACAGCGCTTAGGTCAACTTCAAGAGCACTTGAACAGGTATTTCCAGAGTCAGCACACAGATGGTTGATCCTCATTTTAGTGTTATAAACTACAAATTACCCCAGAATGTGATTTCTACCACTTTAAACCAGTATATGATGAAAGTAATTCTGTTCAAAGGCGTATAAAGTGTTTGACTTTTTTTCTTTATCATAGCTTTATCATCATTTGAGTCTGACAACTCATTATTTGAAATTGCATCATACTGGGTTGCTACCCTTGCCGTTAGGACCCAGTGTAACACTTTATCAGACACAGGATAATTGTATACAGATAAAGAAAGAGCACAGTGCTTAGACATTAATACATGAGTACTAATAATTCAATAATATAATAATTTAACACAGGGGGCCGTTCAGCACTTTAATTACATTTAAGTCCAGTATTGTATTTTTACTTTTATGATCTACATTTATTTAAGTAAATAATCTAAATGCTTCTTTCACTACTTTTTGTCTGACAAAGTAGCCTACTGGTGTGTAATCGGCTAAAACAGTTGAAACTTTGACTTTATTGATTCTTTATTTTTACAACTCCATTTTTGTTAAAAAACAAAACATGTTGACTGTTCTCAAGGAATAAAACTTTTTCCTCAAAATCAATGTTTTACTGAAGTGGGTGGTGCATTTGTTGTCTTTACCTGAATGGACACAAATAGATGCACCTGTATTGTGTAATAATGTTTCGTAAACTCCATCAACTACAACCTACAACACAGAGAGCCAGGAGGCACAGTTGACTCCATAAACCTGGAGTCTTGCACCTCTGCTGTAGCCTGCTGTGACTGGACACAGTTCAGTTTGTGCATGGTTGTAATAATACAAAGTAATATACTCTGACTGCCTGTCTTTGTTGTTTGTCATTCAAACACAGACGTTTATTTCTAATTCAATGGGAATTCCCAGAGTTACCAAAGACACTAAATATGTGAGGCTGAATTTTGGGAAAATGTGTATAAAATGCCTTAAAAAAAAATAAAAACATGGAGTTGGAACTGCATATTATTCAATTTATAAACAAACAGAATAACTTCACTTTTCTTTTCACACCAATTAAGGGCGTGAAAAAAAAGTTAAATATAGGGTTCCCCCATCGTTCACATGTAAACATTCACATTATAACTGCTGATCTGAAGATTGACATAGCAGCAGCTGGTGTACACTACCACCGAGTACGCTAAAGTCGCACATTTTCACATTTGACACACAGTGGTTTAAGTCTGTTTTTGAATTGTGTTATTAATTCAGACTTTGTCACTACTTCATGTCTTCTGAAGTTGGCTTATTAAGGCTTAAAGGCAATATATACAAAATTTGCTTGCCACTAGATGTCGCACTAGATCCGAGCATCCGTGCTCACGGACAAATCAAATAAATGCTCAGACAGGTGCGACACAGTCTGTGTAGAAATTTGTAAAAGCACCTTTTTAGGCGCAAGGACATGGCATTTTTATAGTTTATGATCATATTCTGAGGAAGTAAATTTGTGATTAATCTTATTAATTATCTTACCATTACATTTTCAGTTGGTGACTTAATGATTATGGAGTGCTTTATTTTTTTAAGTTGTCACCTCCCACACTGTTAAAAGTAAGCTACACTTCCCAGTGCGATCACTGGCAATGTGTAGTTCAATTGCCAATGTACATGAGTAGGTGGAGGAAGGCAACTAGCTGGCAGAAGCTGTTGTCGGACTCAGAGTGGGTGGCTGGATCTAGTGGAAGCAGGATGTACCACTGTAGAACCAAAACATATCAAACTTAAGAATGGTTTGTTACAAAATGTTTGTTTCAGTTTGCAGTTACTCAAAACCCAAAGACCGATCTAAGTATATCTAAAACATCTTGGAACAAACTCGAAAACTCTATAGATTGACTCACTGTGATACCTTTTCAGAATAAATACATTGGATTTTAGTCTCATTATTTTCTGTAGCAGAGAACCACATTGGCCATAACAACACACCTGCACCCAGCAGGCCACCTGAAATAGACACACAAATGAACAGCAGGTGGTATTTTTAGCTGGAATTATCACAGAGAACGAGAAACAGCTTAAGGGTGCCTGAAATACTGGACTGGCTCATTTTATTTAGCACAAATAAGACATTTTATCCAGTGCACTCTACCTGACCTTGTTTTTCCCCCTAATGCTAGCTGGCTGCAGGATGAGCAGCACTTCTCTGTCATTTTGTGTTTTTGTGGCTTTGACTTGTCTGAAAGGATATGACAGGAAAAAAATGTTGGTGCAGCATTCTCTTCAACAAATCCATATAAATAGCCAAGAAAAATTCAGTTTGGTGCACCTGCAGTGTCTACTGTGTGACTGCTTTTACTTTATCCCTCATCACTCACAACCTGGAAAACAAATGCTGCCTCACTACAGTAGAGCAGCACAGTAACCCAGGAACATAACACGTGACCATGTCTATGTGTATTAGAAGGAATACAGGTAATTAAAAGGTTATTCAGCATTACCCGATTTTGCCTGATGCCCTAAATATAGTGCTTGGATGGAATCTACTCATAATTAGATTGACCAAATGAGTGTGATACAGTCATTTCCACAGTAAACGCTGCATTCACACCTCCCACACAAAGCTCATTATCACTCCTAGCAAGAGCAGCGTCTTTTCGTCTACTACTCTGGCAGAATGTGTGTCCATGCCTTAAGCAGCTCTTAATTTGTCCACCATGGAGCACAAGCTCCATCTAGTGCTCAGTGAGGCACAACTGAGTGTGTTTTCAGCCATTACATGATCAGACTTTTCAGCATTCAGCTCCTTTTTTTTGTGATTGCCTGTCTGTCTGTCTTCCTCACTGTGTTCCCTTTTCTGTTCTTTTTTAGGCTTGAGTCTCAGCTGATGTCAGATATTCACACCATCCTGCAGCTGCTGCAAAGACAGCCGACACTGGGACCTCCAGCCTACAGCACTGTGACTGCCAGTCCGGACTATCACAGACCTGCCGTGAAGGTCCAGCCAGTTGCTCTGACTACAAGCCATTTCTTTAGCCATACAGGAACTCAAGTAAGGAGGTTTTAGGAGGTAGAGACTGTTTTACACACACACACACATACACACAATGAGTTATTTTTGCACATATGAACATGAAGCATTGCATTATTTCTGGCAGAGCACTGATGCCGTGCATCAGCTGGTTTTTACAATCACCAATCACATTCTCACCAGTGATGTTCGAGGAGACAATGAGGCAGTTTCTATAATCTTACAAGCTCCCACTGTTTCATAATGCTTTGCTCCTACCTGCCTCACACTGTTACTGCTGAATGTTGTGATTGATTGGTTTGTCTGGCACAGTATTTGCCAGAAAGTCTGAACTATCAGAGCAAATAAACACTGAGCCATTGTCACATGTTTTCTCTGACTGATCTCGTAACTGACACCATCTGGTGCCATATGGCTCACCTGGTAGAGCTGGTGCCCCATGTACCAACGCTGAGTCCTTTCTGCAGCGGTTAAGGGTTCAATTATAACCTACATTTTGACAATTCCTTTTACTACAAATAGGTTACACATTTGAAATGTACTGAATGACTATAAAATGTTGGATGAGATGAATAGACCTGCTAAATACAGGTCAGTTTACCTCAGTTTGGGCAACTAAGTTGTATATATTCTGCCACTTTTCTTCTTAGGGCCCCAATCTCAAACTGGAGAGGACCATTCAGGAATCCAAAGACTCCCTGTCGAGCTTGGCCAACATGAATGCACCCATAGAGGACAGCCTTACAGCATTGCTTGTACAAAGACATACAGAGCCACAACAACAACAGCAGCAGCAACAACAACAGATCACAGGGCATCAACAATCTGCATTGATCCTTCTTCCAACTGAAACCTCATCCACCTCCTCCTCCTCTTCATCCCCATCCCCTTCTGACTCCAACCTCAACACCACTGGACTCCACAGACCTGTCTCAGACCCAGAGTTTCCAAGGCCATAAACCTTACGTCTGCACAGTGTTCTAATATCTGGGTTGTAATGCTGTAATTACTAAGTAGCAGCTATTTATCAGCATGTTGGCACAGACATCTGTATTGTTAATTTGTAATGGCTTGGTAATAGAAGTAAGATGTGTTTTTTTTCATTATGCATGTGGATAAAATACTGTTTGCTGCAGTTAACAGTGTGTTAACAAACTGTTTTCTGCGGTTATCAGTGTAATAACAATGGTTACATATTGTAACAGTAGTTCTATCAATACAGAAGCCCTCTGATGGACTCTTTTAGCATCATCACTCATCTTTACAGATAGATTCATATGCTCAAAATGTACATGCCCCAACCAATCAGGATGAACCTGTTCAACCACACATGGAGTGTCCCTGTAGGAGATTTCCTCATTCACTAAGTCTACAGCTTCTTAACTAAATTCTGCTTAATCGGCAGGGATGATGGTTAAAGGGCTCCACCTGGTTGTGATAACTAGCACTACAACACCTAACTTTCTGTCTCACCAAGGCTTTGTTCTCTAATGGGCTCTAGTGGGCTCTGTACCTCTTCTTGTGACTCTGTTGCAACATTTTATGTCCCAGCACACAACTGGTCACACCAACAATAGAGTCAGCGGTAAAGACCACCACATCTGTCCTACTGTTTGCAAATCTGGTCTCCGTACATTACACTGTAACACAGGCACCTGTGCACCAGTCGACCTACATTCAAAGCTTTATTAATGGACCCAGGCAGGAAAAAGTCCTGACAACTTTGTCCCTCCCTCCATCATTACTTGCTAAGCAAGAAGAGCTGACTGACCTACCTCACAAATGACGGGCCCCAATGTCCCGTACTCGAGGCATCACTTCATCACAACATGTGGGTTTCTTCCTGGTGTTAGACTGGCTCCCGAACATCCAGGCCCTACCCATCACAGCTCACCAGTCTGTGCACCAGATGGAGGATGGAGAAACAAACCAGGAAGTGCATGCACTGTATGACTCAAGCCAACTGCTCCTCAACATCCCCAGATAAGGTACCTATGGGTGCTGAGCGTGCTTGGCAAGGATCCGGGGAGAGACCAAAAACACAGACTTACGGCAAAGACAGACACTAAGTCAAACAACTTTTCCTTGGTACTGAGCGAAGAGAAAGACGAAAGTAAGCAGAAAGCAAGGTAGAGGGGGCATTAAAAGGCCACACACATAGGTCACCCCACTGTACATAAGAGAGCTGGGGCGTCCAGGATAAACACTGCCAGGAGAATTCCTGTCCATCGACTAATATAATTGTGAAATGCGTTTTGCATAGTTAACAGTGATCATTTCTTTGGACAGGAATTTGCCACAACCCTGTCAAGCTTTTTCCCACCCTTCCATGCCTGTAGTCAGCAAAGAGAAAGGTTATCCCTCCAAAAAACGTGTCAACAGAGAGCAGCTACTGTACCACTCACTGCCAAAGTGGCCCTAGAGAACGGGCAATGTAATTAATCACTCAGCTTCCTATACTCCCGTGTAACAGCAAGTAGAGATGGAGGCCACGTCTAAAGATTGTAAATGCTGCCACCAAGGCAGTCTGGCAGCTGGTGGACAAATACATGTTGTCCAGGCATTTTGCAAGTGCAACCTGAGACTTGGAAGCAAGAATGTGAGCCAAAGCAAAGAGCTCGTACTCCGTGTCCTCATTTCCATTGTGCATGTATGAATACCTAAAGCATTAGGAAAATGATGGGACAGTGGCTGAAATCTTTGCATAGCACCTGACTGTGAGACACTGACAACGCCATAGGTGGAAACACATTCTGTAAATTTCCTCCACTGGGACAGAAGATCTTGCCGGATACTGACCACATGGACATCCTCAACAGTCACTGATGAACCTATAAAAGCCTGTTAGAGTATAAAGCCTGAGAGCAATACATATCCAGACTACCACAGGGACTGAGCCTGCATATAAATTGATTATACAAACGATTTCCTGCAGCTAGTGTTGTGTAATACAGCATTATTACAAAGGTGTGAGAACAGTTTACTTATCCTTAGTTGTATGCCTGTTTTCTCTGAAGTGTGACTCAGGGGTTATGGACAATTGCACTGCAATACACAGCACAGTATCAAGTATACTGTAGTTTTCTTCTTTAAACAATGTGCATTATTACTGCGGTCACTGACTTGCACCTACTGTACAACATTAAGCCAACAGAAGACACCATACATGCTTGTCCAGGCATATCATAACATGCAGATTTAATTCTGTTCTAATTTATTCTGCTGTTATCCCAGAGCTAGGCCTCTGACAAACAAGTATGATGTAGGTATTTCTACAAGGCAGTGCATGCATTATATATATGTGTGTGTGTGTATATATATATATATATATACTGTTTTGCACTGCTTATGAGTCCAAAGTAGCACATTACAGTATAAAATGATGTCAGCATACTTGTTTCTTTTAGGATGCACTGAGAGGGTGGGTTGGGGGAGGGAGGATTGGGGAACACATGGGAAGTTAGCACTTGCGCATAAACAGGCCCCAGAGAGGGTCTTGTGCCTATACAACCAATCCAAATGCTAAGTCAGCATCTTCATGTATAACTGACATAACATCAACGATTCATATCGTTTCCCCGTACTGTTTTTGTTGGCAATGTAAATTAAAGATAAAATGTTGTTAGACCATTGTTAGAAAATAAATACATCATATTGCCAGATGTAAAAAAAAAAAATGTATTTTTTTTAACTGAGTAAATTATATGAGAAAATATTTAGCAAAACAGTAGTACATATGTTTGATTTGAAGCTGTGGGAGCAATAAATGAAAACACACTCATAGCTGTGTCACTGGTTTTCCCTTTTCTTTAAAGACCATATAACTGTCTTTACAATGAAAATACTGCTGTTACTTATACCGTGTGAATTACCCAGGGGGCTCGGGATGAGAAGATGAAAGGCCATGGATTATTGATTTGTGCATGCTTTGTTGTGCTTGTTGCTAGCAGAATTGTTGGGTGGAGGATGATCTGTTGTCAGAGAGCCCAGACCGCCACCACTAGAATGAAACTAACTAGTATAAATTGAGAGGATACTCATGTAAAGAAAATGAGCTATACATTTGGCTGTGGGTTGTATTATATAAATAAAATAACACATTTTATACATTTCAGTTTCATTGTGTATAGAATTGACTGGCAAATATGTCATTGTTGCCTTTGTAAAAACAGAACTAGGCATGCTGTACACAACACTAAGCGTTGTTGAAAGGAAGATTTAGAGCCCAGTGGCAAAACCACAATCAAGTACTTCAATATTACTCAGATTCTTGCACTAAAACTTTTAGTAAAAAAATAAATAAATATGTATTTATCAAAAGTTCTGCTTCTTCCCTTTCATAGTCTTAAATTATTGATTATTGAAGATAACCTGCAGTGTAACACAGTAGGGTTCCATGTCTGACTACTGCCTTACGTTGCTGGGTATCCATAGCAATATATCATTATTCATGAGTTTTAAGTTTGTCTTATAGGTCAGTGTTGGTCGGCTAAGTTACTAGTGGGCCTAACTACAGTTGTTGAGTATTGCAGTGAGAAAAATATGTCCCTTACAATTAATATTTCCGCTTCTAAATAAAAATACTCAGGTAAGCCTTTAGAGGTGAGAGTAAAGGAGAAGTCAATCAAACAGTAAAGTTCCTAAAATCATTTTATAATATTATATTGATATAAATAAAGATACACAAATACCTCAGTCATTATAGGTCACTGTTAGAATGATATAAAACAGTTAAATATCTCAGCCAGGTTCTTTAAAACTGCCTGCAGGCCTTGGTGTGCATGCAAAGACCTTCCTACTATAGTCCCATACTGACACCTAGAGGCCAGTTTCATTCTGGGGAGTTTTGGGAGAAACGAAAGTGAAAGAGCTGACATTTCCTCGACTCAGTGAATCATCATTTGTGTTTCTGCCAGTAGTTCTTTGACCGATCTGGAGCTGTTGTACAGTGTTGTGATCAGTCTTATCGGTTAGGAGGGTCGTAATGGCATCTGATAACGATGAGGTGAACGTGACTGTCATTGAAGAGTTCAGGCCGAGGTTGCGACAGTATATTGTGGTGCAGCGGGTTCTGGATTACATTGACTTTATCGAAAACGACCAAAAGGAGCGGATCAGACAGAAAGACAGGACCGAGGGTAACGGGGCGGCTGTGGATCTCCTCATTAGCTCGGTCACAAAGAAGCCACATTCACCCGGCTGGTTCAGGGCATTTGTCGACGCCTTGGTACATGCAGGTTGCGAACATGCAGCGAACTACGTACAGGCCAAACTCCCAGACCCTGAAGTGGAGGCAGAGAATGATTGCTGCGTCCGGCTTATACAATTACTGTTACCCAGTCTTGTGGATATGGACAGTAAAACTGTGTGCACACAATGTTACTCTGCGGAGCTACTCACCCAAGATGACACTGAGATTGTAAGTACTCAGATTCCCACCTTTCCAAGAGAATAATGAGTCTGAAAGAGTCACAATGTTGCATTTACAGTTTAGTGTGTTCACAACTTCAGTGTGTGTACTTATTCCTGTTCGACTTGCTTAAATAGAAAGTTAAGAATAGATGTCTTTGCGGTCACTGACCACAAGATGGCAGACAAATGCACTCATCTGTTTTTGCAGAGGACTGAACTTCACTCTCATTGCATAACTCCAGTCATAATGCTCATGTTTCTAGATTACAGCTACAATAGAAAACCAAGGAGGACAGAGTGGAGCCAGTGAACTTCTGAGAAGAATCGTGAGATGTCCACCAGGATGGTTTTCTAAATTTCTCAATGTTCTGCGTAATACTGATCACAAGCGCCTGTACAATGAGCTGAGTGGAGTCTCACCTGACTGTGACATGCAAGGTGACTAACTCTGCTGGAGCACACACCCATTACAGGAAATAGCATTATTCAGTCTTGTGTTGGATAGAGAGAGATCTGTGCATGAGTGACTACAGCGCTAGATATACTTATTCCAACTTTGTTATACATTATTAACTTAGAGGTTATCAATTATAATAACTTCCTGTGTCTGATTTATTTATTTCTTACCAGGCTCAGATGAGAAAATGCTTTCACAGAAAATTGGAAGTGAAGCTTGCACAGAGGAGATGTCAGCAGGAGAGGAAAGCTGTGATAGCATACAGTATATGGAGACCAGCACGACCGAGAACCCTCAGGATGAAGCCACAGGTGTGACAGATCAACTCTGTTCAAGCATCAGTGAATCTATGGATGTCAGTAATAACAGCTGACACAGTAGTCAGTGCATTTTGAACAAATTAAGTGAAATAACTGAATTTGGACACTCATACAGTCCAGTAGGCAGTTTATGGTTCAGTTCACCCAAATCACACAAAGCACATATCTTTTCACTTAACCCTCAGTGGTGTTTGTTTCATTTTATTGTATGGTTTTGTGGAGACATGAAAACTGTTTGTTAAGTCAACACAAAACATAAACGAGTCAGACATCAAATGTAATTTAACAATTCTTTAAGGACCACACACAAATTCAATCCCCTCTTTTGCATTCCAGAGGCAGGAATGGATATCTCAAAGCCTTAGCAACTAAATCTGAAACTATCTGTATGTTTAGACACCACTAGGGTACTTATCCAAGATTTATCTCCTGCCTTCTTTGATATCTTTTCAGACCTGTACGAGGGAGCAAGCGTTGAATCAGAACTGCCTAAGAGCTTGGAGCCTTCACAAGCAGGTGGGACTGATTCACTCTCATTCACCCTTGATACTGTTGATGATGTTGAAGTATTTAAAGTATGTTAGTAATCTAAAAAGCTTGTTACTGTCCTGCCTCAGTAGGCCACACATGAAAATATCATGCTCATCCATTCTGGATCTGTAGATGCCCTTTTCGTTTCATAAAGGCAGATTGAGTGTGTTTGGAATGTGTTGTAGGTGGAAAAATTTCTCCGTCCTCCCTGCCTGACACCAAAGAATATGTTTCATGTGTGTACCATGATGAACCACGTAGAGGTCAAAGAGGACAGAGCATAGCCAGCGCTTCAAATGAAAACCACATGCAGCCTCTATATTGTAATGTAAAGGAAAGGTTTAATTCAAGACTCTGTGGAGTGGGGCCTTCCTTTACACCTCTAGGCTTATATCATGCTTAATTTGTTTATGTCAATGGCTACTGCAGCAGCAGCATCTCTCATGCGCTGTACTCATATAAAGCGCCTCTCTGACATTCACATAAAAAATGATCGCTTTAGGGATAATCAGCCCAGAGCAGAGAGACGCTGCACAAAAGCAGAGACATGTGGACTAATGAGGCAGTGGAAATTATTTTATGAAATGAAGTAACAGCGGAAGTGTCTTTTATTTTCTTAATATGAGGTTACAGCACAGTTTGTCTCATTAATTTGAGTAATGCCATGAGCCTGACTAGTTGGCCACAGTGCATGGTTTCAACAGATTACATTTGCTGTTCCACCAGCCTGTGAAATGAGTTGCATGTGCAGAACTATTTGTGGGCCTTCTGAAATTAGCTGAGTAGCACTGAATCAAGTTGAAAAATAAGCCTAAGGGTTTCCTTTTCTTATTGCAGTGGTATTAAACATAGCTGATTGTTGACTTTCCTTTTCTAATAAGTTTAATGTCTGGGAACTGCTGGTAAAAATTCAGTGGGCTACACAGGCCACTGTTTACTTCTTATTGTTGTTAAAGCTCTATCTCACCATCGGCACAGACCTGTATTTATTTCCATGCAGTGGCTTGAAACAGCACATTTAACCTCTGGCATACCAAGTCTGAGAAGGAAAATTAAAAGCTGTCTGCACTGAGAAAAAGAGAACTTTCTGGGGGTTTGAACTCATAACTGGGGGGTAAATGTAGAACTCCAAGTTGAGGGGAAAGCGTAGCCGAGAGGGGGGTACATGTGCATTGTGCACGGCGCCTTAGTCATGTTTTATCCCCAGCCTAGACAGGGTAAATGAGTCATAGCCTGCCAGCGACTTAAAGTCTGACTGAAGTGGATCATAGTAAGTCTGCTGTCCTTGCAAACAGGAACTTAAGACAAAATGGTGCCACAATAGACATCAGGAACAGGGAAAACATTACTGACATGTGAAATCATGCACTCAGAAGCAATTTGAGAAAATCTTGATGATGACTGATAAATACCTGCAGATGTTAGCTTGTGCAGCGAAATGCACTGCCTGACGTTTGATTATTTATTTTAGGAAATTTTTTTTCTTTTTCAGGTTTAGATTTGTAATGAGGTACTAAAAGGCCAAATTACATTGTATTTGTACTCGAACACTAACATCTGTTGCACACATTGCCCTGCTTCTGGCACAGTTTTTGAATCTTTGGACTTTATGGTTTGGATTAAGCAAATAGGATACAAAGGTGTCTCTCAGTGACATGATAGTGTTCATATCTTCATTACCTAAGACTTGTGGTTCATAATGTGCTCCATTGTGGTTTAAAATCAGTGGGTTAGCAATGAAAGTGCAAAATCAGTCTGAATGCTTGGTGTTTATGTTTTAAATTTAGAACATATTCCACAAATTCAGCACATACATAATGCTTCTCCTTTTTAATAGCAGCATTAAGAAAACATTATATTACAGGACTTTAACCACAAACAATGACCAGCACTGTCTTTTCCTGCTGGTAATGCCTGTAATAGTGGGTTGCTGACTTGGACACAAGTTTTATCTGTGTGAACCTCTGTTCTGTTTTACAGATGGAGCTGACTCAGAAGCAGCAGCCAGAGTCCCAGAAAAAGCTGATATTGTTCTTCGAGATTATCAGATGGAGGTCGCCA